ACTGTACTGACGATTTTTTAGCGACGGAATTTTATTTTTTCCGTCGCTAAATGTTTTAGCGACGGATTTTCGACTTTTAGCGACGGATTTGTCCGTCGCTAAAAGTCCTGTTTCTAGTAGTGATATTAAGAATGAAGGAAGCAGAAAGAAGAACTTCACCCCAGAGATTTTCAGGTTCTCCTGCACTGAGTAACATACAGTTTACCATGTCCATTAGGGTTCTATTCTTTCGTTCAACTACCCTGTTAGACTGTGGTGTATAGAGAGCAGTAACCTCATGAATAATACCGTGTTCTTGACAATATTCAGTCATATGATTTGAGATATACTCCCCCCCCCACGATCATATCTAAGTATCTTGATCTTCCTGTCAAGTTGGTTCTCAGATTCAACTTTGTACACCTTAAACATATCTAAGACTTTATCTTTAGTTTTGAGAAGATAGGTATAACAATATCTGGAGTGATCGTCTATAAAAGTCATAAAATACCTCCTACCCCTTCGGGTGAGAACTCGGTTTGAGTCACACACATCACTATGAATTAATTCGAGAGGTTCGGAGTTTCTAGTTATAGGCTTGAAGGGGTTTTTAGTGTGTTTCCCTTGAACACAGATTTCACACTTAGATGAGGGATCATGAGAAGATTTTTTAGTGTGTTTCCCTTGAACACAGATTTCACACTTAGATGAGGGATCATGAGAAGATTTGGGAATAAGGTTTAATTTACTCATTCTCTGCAAGGTTTGGAAATTAACATGTCCAAGTCGTCCATGCTAAACATCACAAGACTCAACAATTTGTGTAACAAAAAGCTCAGGAATTTCATTAGAACTGGAATTGATTACATTGAGTTTGAAAAGGCCATTACAGATAAAACATTTTCCTATGAAAACATTACTCTTTGTAATCACAAATTTGTTGGATTCTTTTACAATCCTATATAGCTCTAAGAAGAAGAGATTCACTAATTAGATTGCGACAGAGAGAAAGAACATGATAAGCACCTTACAGATGCAGAGCTTTCCCAGAAGTCATGGTGAGTTCTATACGTCCACTTCCTATTATTGGTTTAGTGGAGTCATCTGCTAAGCTTATGCTTCCTCCACATGATTCCTGATAATTTGAAAACCAAGAGCGATCATTATAGACGTGGATATTTGCTCAGGAATCCAAATATCAATCAGTGGAAGAAGTTAGAGAATTTACAAGATGAGATGAAGAGGCTAACCTGAAGGAGGTTGGATTCATTTCAACCATATTTACTTTGTTTGATCCATTTTCTTTAGGGGCAGGTTTGGCCGGTTCCTTCTTCCGAAAAAACAATTGGGATTCAGGTGGTTGGTTCTACCATAGACATAGCAGAACTTTCCATCAGACTTATGGCTGAAAGAGTTGAGATTTGATTTGAAGGGAGATTTGTCAAAAGGTTGTTGATTTTTCTTGAATTTCTTCCCTTTGGGTTTGAAATTCCTAGATTTAGGCTTATCCTCTACCAAGTTTACTTTAGTTTTTGATTCATTCTTGGTTTTGGAATTTTTCCTATGTTGGTCTTCAATACGAATAGCCTTGAGGGCTTCAGTTAAGGTTAGATCTCCTTGTTTGTATCGGAGATCTCCAGCAAATCTAGACCAGGAGGGAGGGAGTTTATCAATCAAACAAGAAACTTTATAATCGTCAGTAAAAGTGTTTCCTTTTGATTGGAAATGACGGAGGAAATTTAGGAATTCATGAATTTGTTCATTAATGGGCTTGTCACCGACCATCATGAACTTATTGAAGGAGGAAGAAGTGAAACGCAGAATTCCGACATCATCATAGCCATATTCTGCTTCAAGGGCATTCCATAGGTCTTTTGTACTTTTGAACTCATAGTATATGTCATAAAGGTCATCCGTAATTACACTAAGAATCCTATGACAACAATGATAATTGATTTCTTCTGGTTTCATAGAGCTAGAAAAGGAGCTAGCACAAGAACCAGAAGTGGAAGGAGCAGGCTGTTCAGGATCATGAGTCAAATGTTGAGAACCACTAGTAGACGACTCAGGAGTGTCAATAGCAGATAAGAGACCTAAGGTAGTGAGCCAGTATCTCATCTGATTAGCCCACCGTTTATAGTTGACACCGGTGAACTTCTCAGATTTGATACTTTTTGAATGATCAGGAATTGCCATAAGTCCAATTCGAGTTTACTAGTCTAGGTAGATGGAATCTGATAGAATAAAAGATTTTGTCAATACTACTAGACCAGAAACTTAATTAAACCTGCTCTTAACCAAAAACTCTGAAAGTGAAAAGATTAAAGTTTTACCCGGGTAGTTTGGTCAGGTAAGGATAGTACTAGATGTTGATCAAAGATCTATTAAGTACATCGTTACTTACAGAGCGCTTTACGCAACCCTTAAAACTTGCCTTAGACACTAACTAATCTAAGAAAACTTAAACCGGTTCACTTAAAGATTTCTTGTTCCTTTACTGTATATATGTATATGAAAAGTGACAGATACAGAAATTGAGTACAGTAGCAGCAAAATAAAAACTCTTTTTTTAATAACTAATTTAGAGGCAAAATTAGTTAACAAATTAAAACAGTTAACTATAGGTTAAAAATACAGATTTAAAATTAACAGCTAAATAATTCAATCTTCTAGATTGCTGTCTAAATAGGAATATAATAATAATATAAAATCCAAATTAAAGAGTTAGAAAATTCAAGCCTGATCGGGAGCAGTCGTGATGTCACTGCCCTAGAAGATTGATAACCCGCCTATCGTCCTAGCGTAATCTGTCCCCTCTCCCCTAGCGGTAAAAACCTCCGGAATCGGCCGACCTTTGTGCTCGGGCGTGAGTCACAGAGCTTATGCTCAGACGAAAACGGTTGCCCAAAATATAAATGTAACGTAGTTGAAATAACTTGGGAGAAAAGAGAGTGGAGAAAGAGAGCTTTGGAAGTTGTTCTTCTCGTTGCTGTGTTTCTGAATGAGGTCTACGGCAGCTTATATAGGTAAGGAGAAGTGTAACCCCCGCTGAATTAAAGAAACCGTTACGCACGAATCTTGCTTTCGTTACCCGCATGCAGCCGTTACAAAACGTGTAAAACATGCAAAATAAAAGCTTGAGAAGCAAAAAAGTGTGCGTGTGCGGTGCGGCGTGGCGTGCACGAGAGAGGCGTGGCGCGCGTGCGCGTGTGTGAGATAGATATGCAAAGACCACAAAACCCAAAACACTATTCAAAGCCTAATAAGGAGAGAACCATTATATACCCTATACTATTCATCTTCTTTTCCAATGTGGGACTATCCACAAAGGCAAAATTGCCTTTTCATGAACAAAACATCCAACAAATTGTTCATCCGCTTCATCGCATGCACGTAAGGTGTTCAATGAATTGTCTTAGTGAGATTTCTCCCTCTTAGGCCAGCCTCTGACCAAGCTCTCTCCAGCCAACCGCTTTCCACTCACCGATGCTTGCGAGATCCTGTCATCATGACCATAGGTCCGCCCTCTCGTGACCACTGTGCGTGATAGCCGATTACTGCTACAACACCATACCTCGCCGCTTGCAAGATCCAGACACCAAGCCTTCTCCCGCAACTGTAGATCCGCCGTTTGGCGATCACCGTGCGTGACCGCCGATCACCATTGCAATAGCATGATCTCGCATCCTATAATTCTAGCCACCAATGTCCTCCAATTCAACCACATCTTGCTAAGCCATACAAATAATCATCTATGCAAAATTGGCTCATCTTATCCAAACTCTAGTTCTCTATCGACCGTGAGTTTGATCCGGGGTGTTAAATATAGTTATTAGGCATGTTGTATCTCTTTTTTTAGTCCTACATCACTCAGGATACTAAAATCTCTTCTTTTGCTCTTGTATATTTAGACACTTCAGTGCAATGAATAAATTATCTTTTTTCTCCTAATAGCTCTATTCTTATCAGCAATGAATAATGATATTTGGTAAAACTTATTCTGCATGCTTATTAAAAGTGTTACTGCTTTTACGATGTGCTTTTAGAAACAATCTGATGATGTTTTTAAAAGCAGCTTCTGCATTTTGTAGATTTAATACCATACGTAGCATTTAGATTTTGACATTATTACTTTATAATCCTAAAATTATATTATCTATTTTGATGACTAAAATTATGTATATTTTGTCATTCTCACTTATAATAATCTTTAACCACAAATTTCCCAAAAACTTTACATACTTTGAGACATAGCTTATGATCCTTGATTACGAAATAGCAATTTTGCGCTGCTTCTATAAGTTGATTATATAAGCAACTTGTCATAAGTTCCAACAACTGGTCCTTACTCTTGTCTCTTGTCAAATTCAACTATGTTGGTCCAGTGAATTGTTGGACACATATCCAAACATAGCTTAAACACCACAAAATATAGATCGCAATCTCTACAGTTGCTTCTTTGATTAGTCATTGCACAAATTATTAAAGCTACATGTGCAGCATCTTATATGTGGGTGCCTCTTGTTAGTTGAACAGCGGATTTGTTCAATTATGATAATGACACTATTACAAAATTGCATATATTCTGGTCTGTGAGCTTTTCATAACTCTACCCAACTTTTTTATGATCTTAGACAATGATTATGGAAAATACAAACTTGATAAAACTCTTTTTTTTTTTTCTCTTCATGCATCAGAAAAAATATATATATTGATCGATAGCAGTTGTGCCTACCATTACTAATTATAAAGTTTTTTTTTCTAAAAAAATAAATTTTGAAAATTTAATTTAATATTACCAAGAAATCACTTGGCATGTAGTTATAATATTTCTTTTCGCAAAAAAAAAAAAAAAAAAAAAAAAT